ATCAATGACTCAATGTCTAGTTGGCAGCTGGTATCAAGTGGAGTGCCCCAGGGGTCAGTTTGGGGGCCAGATTTGTTCAATATCTTCATCAATGACCTGGAAGACGGGATGCAGCGCACCCTCAGCAAGTTTGCAGATGACACCAAGCTGCGGGGAGAAGCAGTAGATATGCTGGAGGGCAGGGGTGTGATTCAGAGCGACCTAGACAAATGGGAGGGTTGGGCCAAAAGAAATCTCATGAGGTTCAACAAGGACAAGTACAAAGTCCTGCACTTAGGAGGGAGCAATCCCATGTACTAGGACAGGCTAGGGGTGATGGGCTGGGCAGAAAAGGACCTGGGGGTGACAGGGGACAGTAAGATGGATATGAGCCAGGAGTGTGCCTGTGTTGCCAAGAAGGCTACCAGCATTCAGGGCTGCATTGGTGGGAGCATTGCCAGCAGGTCGAGGGCAGTGATTCTTCCCCTCTGTTCAGCACTGGGGAGGCCACATCTGGAGTCCCGTGTCCAGCTGTGGGCCCTCACTACAGAAATGATGTGGGCACATTGGAGACAGTCCAGTGGAGGGCAATGAAAATAGTTGTGGGACTGGGGGACATGACTGGTGAGGAAAGGCTGAAGGAACAGAGCTGACTGAGTCTGCAGAAGAGAAGACCGAGGGGGATTGAATAGCAGCCTTCACCTCCCTGCAGGGAGGCTGCAAAGAGGATGGAGCTGGGCTGTTCTCAGTGGGGGCAGACGGCAGGACAAGGAGCAATGGGCTCAAGCTGCAGCAAGGGAAGGTGAGGTTGGATATTAGGACAAACTGTCTCACTGGGAGGGTGGTGAAGCACTGGAACAGGCTCCCCAGCAAGGTGGTGCAATCTCCATCCTTGGAGGTTTTGAAGACCCAGGCAGACAAAGCCTTGTCTGGGATGATGTAGTTGGGCTGGTTCTGCTTGGAGCAGGGGTTGCACTAGATGTGACCTCCTGAGCTCCCTTCCACCTGCCTGTCTGTGATTCTGCAATCCTCAGAGCATGCAGCAAGGGCTGCATGTGAACCCAGCCCATTTCAAAACAGCCTCTCACCACCTTTAGTCCAAAGGGCCGGCCGCACAGAGCGGGACTCTCTCCCCTGGCTTCATAATCAATACACTCTGCAGCACCAGAGCCAGACGCTGTCCCAGGAGACCTGCAGCAGATCGCAGTCAGGTGGAGGAGAGGAAGTGCCAGTGCTCCCTTCCCCAGCACAGCTGCTGCCAGGAAGGTGACCAAGAGGTTTAACTTCTGCACCCATCGCTGGAGCTGCTACCCTGGAAATGCAGCCAGCAGGCGCTGGCCTAAGACTAGCGCCGGTCCGAGTCCACCTACAGCGGTGAGGTCTTTTAGGCCCTGCTGATCCAGGCTGATCCTGAACTAGATGCCTAAATGGGAGAGGTGTCTGGGCTCATCCCAGACTGCTGCGACAGCATTCGGCACTACTAACCCCAAAGCCCTGCTTTGACGTAGGAACGTGGGGCTGGATGCCCCGAGCTACTGAGTGCAGCCCCTGGCTCTCCATCACCTGGTCCTGTAATCCTTGCTTGATGCTTAGCGGCAGGCCTGGAGGTCATTACAGCCACCTATTGCCGTTGCTCAGTGGTGCGTGTATAATTTAAAGGGCGATCTTGCTCTTTCCGAGCGGAAAGTTTTTCAAAGCCACCGTCCTCTGCACGGTCCCGGCTGTTTTTCCCTTCCTAGACGTGAAGTCCGGATTTTCTCCCAGGGGTGTCAGGGCTGACTCCCAAAGGGGCAGGATATCATCACCATCATCATTCATTGGAGCAACAAGCAGCCACGGTCCCTGGGCCCAGAGCATCCAGGGGCGCTGGAGGGGCAGGGGGCATTCAGGGACCGATGTGCATAGGACTAATGAGCCATGGAGCAACCTGCTTTCTAATAGGACACTGTTAAGTGAACCTCGCTGCTCCTAGAGCACTGTCCTGAGTCAGGGAGAAGCAACAGGTCCTGTTTTCCACCTGCTCGGTGCCGGCAGGGGTCCTGTCCTGGGCAGGGTGAGGGAAAGCTGCCTTGTATCGGCTTCTCCTCCCCTCCTGACAGATCTGGCCTGGCCCCAGAAGCCTCCTGGCTGTGTTTAAAGTGAGAAATCAGTGTGGTGATGGTGAGGGCTGGGCCTGGGCTGCAGCAAAGCGTGGTTGGTGATGTTTTCCCCTGCAAAACAGTGCCCCAAGGCGGGCAGTGCTGCCGGAGGGGTCAGACACGATGCCCTCCTTGCAAGAGGAGGAGCGTAGGCTGCTCCATGCCCAGGGCAGATGTGCACATTTGGACATCTGGACACGGCACTCCTCTGGTTTTTTGTGCTGTTGAACCGCTGCTGTATCCCACCCCAGACCCAGCTGCATTTCAGCAAAGTGATTTCTGCTTTCTGTAGAGCCTGGTTTGTCACTGCAGGCTCGAGCGAAGCCCCCTGCTCGCTGGCAAGGCCCCCTTCCCTTTGTGTTATGTTAGGCAGAGGCTGTTGGGTGGAATGAGTGTGTCCGGTCTCAGCCCAAGTCACAACTGGATCTAGGGCAGCGGGTCCCCTTTTGGGGGGTTTCCTCAGGGGCACTGAGGATGACATCAGGCCAGGGCCTTTCAGATCCCCTTACTCTGAATCAGCACCCCTCACACACAGCCCGTGGGGAAAGAGCACGATGAGGCGATGAAAGGTCTCACTTAGAGGTACGTCGATATATCGGATCAGCATCAATAAAATGGAAATTTTTATTATCAGCTATTGGTTTTTTTGGCTGATAATGTTCTCCAGTAATTACCAGCATGCCTTCTGGCTGGGGCCCCCGGATGCCTGGGTTCCCTCTTGCCCATGGGGTTGGGGCCCCAGGTACACCCCTATCCCCTCACCAGCGGAGCAGCTGGCGCAGTGACCCGGGCACTGGCCTAGGAAGCCCTGGCACATCTTTCCGGGGCGTATTGCAACCCTCTCAAGACTCTTTGGCAGCCTGGTCTCTGCCTGTCGGACTGCTGCTATGTTCCACCCCAGACCTGGCTGCATTTCAGCAAAGTGGAGTGAGGGGGGAGAGGATCAAGGACTGGATGGGGCATCCTTTTGCCTCACACCTCCTTGCCAGGGACCTCCCAAGCAGTTGGCTGGAGGAGGGAGGCTCGGGCGGTGGAGCGGAACGGGGTGACCTAGTAAAACCTGAATGCAGAAAAGGCCAGAGCTTGGGATTCACAGCCTGCAGGGCAGCACCAGCTCTCTGGGTAGAGGTGGAGGAGGGATCCAGTGAAGCCGGGCAGAAGTGACTGCAGCCAAGTTACCGAGCCAGGATCCCAGCCCTCAGCTTCATTGCAAACCCTGGGGTGACCTAGCAGCTATAATGCAGCCCTGGAAGCCAGCATCCGATTCTTCCACCTACCGGGGATGTCCTGGGCAGGTCATCTCCACCTCCCCCTCTCTAAAACAGGGGTAGCAACCACCACCTGCCTTCCTGGGGTGGGTCACTGGCTGCCAAGCTCACCAGGCTCTGAGGTGGAAGGTGCCAGCTGAGATATTAAGAGGTATTGCAATCATTGAATCATAGACAAGGAGGGTTGAAGGGAGCTCAGGAGGTCACATCTAGTGCAACCCCCTGCTCCAAGCAGGACCAGCCCCAACTACATCATCCCAGACAAGGCTTTGTCAAGCTGGGTCTTCAAAACCTCCAAGGATGGAGAGCTCACCACCTCCCTGGGGAGCCTCTTCCAGTGCTTTACTACCCTCCTAGTGAGGAAGTTTTTTCTAATATCTAACTTCAACTTCCCTTGTTGCAACTGGAGCCCATTGCTCCTTGTTCTGCCATCTGCCCCCATCCTCCATCCTCTGTGCAGCCCCCCTGCAGGGAGTTGAAGGCTGCTATTCAATCCCTCTCGGTCTTCTCTTCTACAGACTAAATCAGCCCAGTTCCCCCAGTCCTGGCTCAAGGTCAGGCTGTAGCAAAGCAGCAGGGCTTTGCATTAGATGCTGCGCTGATGCACTGGTGTATAATGGCATTGTAGCCGCTGTAGAGTTAATGGGATGTAGATCTTACTGGATGTTCAGCATCCAAAACCCCTAGCTGGGACTCCCCTCCCATTAGACCCCTCTCCCTTCTTGCTGAAATTGAAACAGGACCCTCTCCCCTAAGGCAAGGTGCTCCGGACCCCTTAGCCCTAGGTCACGACCCCCAAGACCTCCCAGCGGAGAGCCTGTGTCCCAGGTGGCTCTGAAAATCTCAAGTGGAGATCCACGGTACCCCACATTACTGCCATGGCCAGCAGAGAAAGTCTGGCCCGTGCCCATGCGCGCTGTGAGCTGCCCAGGCCCTAGTGATGGATGGCCTTGAATGGAATTAGCCCCATTAAGGTGTCAGATTTAATAGATGAATTAGCCAGCAAAGAGGGATGTATTTCAGGAGAGACAGTGCCAGGTCTGCTCACCCCCGCTCAGCGCAGTCTCCTGAGCGCTTCGGCTGTGCGACTGTCTGGGGCCGAGTCCGCAGCCAGCCGGGGTTATCGGAGCGCAGAAGCTGCGTTCATTTAGGCTGAGACAGCCAGATCAAGCGCTGAGCCAGGGAGAGCCCCGAGTTCCCCGCCTGCTTCGCATCCAGCAAACACAGGAGCTTAGAAAACACGGCTGGCAGAGCCCACAGGTCAGCTAGTCCAGCGCCCACTCAAGGCAGGATCATCCCTATTTGTGCAGCTTAAATCCTATAGAGATCTGCTTCCTTATAGGATGCCTGTGCCTGTATCTGGACTCCTAGGACATTGGATTGGCCTTGTCTAGAGAAGCTCTGGAGGTGGGGAGACTGGGAGGCGGCCAGTTTGGGGTCGGGATGGTGGGAAAGGTTGAGAATTTGGGGTGTGGGCCATGAAGCCAGGCTACCGTGAGAGGAGGGGATGATGACGAAGCAACCCCATGGACTACTAGCGTAAGTGGGTGATGATGCCTCAGGGACCACTCAAGGAGGCTGCTGCTGTGTTCACCTCTGCTTCTTCCCCCGCCAGGGAGGTCATCCAGATAGACCAGTTCCTGAAGGAGACGGCAGCCCGCGAGGCCAACGCCAAGGTGCGACTCCAGCAGTTCATCGAGGAGCTCCTGGACCGGGCGGACCGGGCGGAGAAGCAGCTCCAGATCATAAGCAGCAGCTGCAGTACCACCCCCAACGGCAGCCTGGGCAGGTGCAGCGCACCTGGCTCCAAGGGCCCAAGCCGACAGGTACGCCCCGAAGTTGTCCATGGCTTGCCATGCCGGTGAGGAAAGCAGGGTCCGGCTGGGATACAAGGAGCGCGGTTGCTAGAGCAGGACCTCTCCCTTCCCGCTCCCGTGGGGTGTAAAGCCCGCATGCATCAAAGCCGAACAGCATTGCATGGATGAAAGACCACCTATGAGCATTGCCTGGCTGCTTGGGGTGGGTGGGAACTGTCAGATCAGTGGCGGGCAGACATGAAGGCTCCCCTGGTGCTTTGAGCTGCTACCGCTCAGTCCAAAATTGCCAAATGGAGTAGCTACAATCAGGGTTGTAGAAGAAAAACCTTCTTTTGGCTCTTTGTTCGAGTTATTCCTTCACTCCCCGTGTCGCGGGTGCCAGAGGTCTTTCACGTTCCACCCCAGAGATGGCTGCATTCCTGGGTGAGCCAGCCACAGCCCAAGACGTGCGAGGCGCTGTATACATGTGTTGTGGCTGGTCTCCTTCTGCAAAGGCAGTGCTGGGGGGGGAATGGGGAGCAGGGCCAAGGCTGAGTCCACGAGGCAGAGGGAGCGCAGGCAGTAGGGGAGCAGCCTTGCTGGAGTCAGTCTTGCACCTTGGTGCTGGTGCCAAGTTTCTCCTTGCATTGGACAGGGTTTCACTCTCTGGTCTTCTTTCCCTTCCTTCTTCCGCAGCGGGACAGGCACCCCGGCTCGGGGGCAGCTGCGCACAGCTCCTATGTCGTTTCCAATCAGAGGTCCTCCTCCAGCACTGGGTAAGCTGTATGGGGTACGCATTGGCCACAGCTGTCTCTCTAGTCCCCCTTCTCCCGTGCAGAGGTGGGGGTGCTCCCTGGATGCTCGCAGGCTGGGACCGTTCATTTTATGTGGGCATTTGAGTCCATGCACCTTGTGCATTGGGGTCTCTGGGCAATCCCAGCGCAGGGTGCAAATGACTCCAGCACAGGGCAGCATTGGCTCAGTGCATATTACTGGTGGTGATTACAGAGCGGGAGAAGCCTGTGCTTTCTTTCCACTCCACTTCTCTCCATCATCAGTGGCTGTCTGCCATGCCCCACAGGAGCTGTCTTCCACGACACTCCTGAATTTCCGTCTCCTTTGCTGGGGGAAGAGCTGTGCCCTGTGTGGGGCACGAAGAACACCCTGTATGGCTTCCATCTTTTTGTTCTGGCTTCCACATTTGGGTGTGGGTCCTTACCTGCTCATCCCAAGGCCTCTAGCAGCATCGTGAGAGCCAGAGATCCCTGTAACCATCTCATCACCGTCTCTGTGCATTGCTGAGTTGTTGGCATGCTTTGAAGTCGAAGATCTGCAGGGACCCATCAAGAGGAGCGGTTTTTTCCCTGCCTTGTCTTGCCGTGATGCAGCGAGAGATGCTGGGACGCATGTCTAGGATGTCAGGAAACTTCACTTGCCAGGATGGGGATGTTTTGACACCTCCTTTCTTTTTATAGCATGTTTCCAAGCCGTCAAGGTGCTTCTGACCTACATGGGAAGCTGGAGGTGCCTCTGAATGGTGGGGCTATCTCTATGGGGTTTAATTGGGTGACACACTAACACCTGGTCAGACCTGGGATCCCTTTGATACTAGTGCAACCCCCTGCTCAAAGCAGGACCAGCCCCAACTACATCATCCCAGTCAAAGCTTTGTCTAACTGGGTCTTCAAAACCTCCAAGGATGGAGATCCCCCACCTCTCTGGGTAACCTGTTCCAGTGCTTTCAGACCCTCCACAGGGTCATCTAGTCCAACCTCCTGCTCAAGGCAGGATTATCCCTATCCAAAGCATCCTATATAGTCTTGGTCTAACCTATTCCTAAAACTACACAGTCAACCCTGCTGCATAATCTGTTCCTAAACACAGACAGCAAGTTGCACAGCTACATGGCACATTGCCCAAAGACACCAAAAGCCCCTAACCTGTGCCAGCTAAAGCAGCGGGGCAAGAGCTGCCACTGTCCTGGTACTGCAAGGCTTGTTTAAATGGACTCCAGAGGTCCCAAAAAGAAAGCTGAATAGAGGGGCAAGACCCTGTAGCCAGGAGCAGGAGCATTTGCACAAACCAGTCACCATCCCCAGCCTCGTCTGCAGAAAAACATCCCTGATGTGTAGCAACAGGAGGGGAAAAACATCCTTCCTGGCTGTATGCGGCAACCAGCCCTGCCTGGCTCAGATGAGCTGTTACTAAATGACCTTTTTAGGCTATTGGCAAGGAAAGCAGAGACCTCTCTTCCTACCTGAACTAAGTCATGGTAGGACCAAGGGACATTTTGTCATTCTCCCAGCTGGACCGTTGCGTCTGGGGCGGGCAAGCAAGGGAGCCCGGCTCTAGGTCCAGGATGCTGTTTGTCTCATTGCCGTGCGTTGTCCCCGTGTCCCCACCTCACTGTCACGTGTTGTCTTCATATCCCCACAGGGCCTCCAGCCGGGTGAAGGCCGTCTCCCAGAGCTCCGGCTGCTACGACAGCGACAGCGCCGAGCTGTACCCGACGGACGAGACCGCCGACGGGCACCACTACCAGGGCCGCGGTGTAGACGGTGGCTTCGAGCGGCCCGGGGTAGCCCGCAGCTCGGGGCTGCGCAGACAGGCCATCCAGAACTGGCACCGGCGGCCCTACCGCAACAGCACCGAGGGCGAGGAGGGCGACATCTCCGACGTGGGCTCCCGCACGACCGAGTCGGAGGCGGAGGTGTGGGAGCAGGAACCCCGGCTCCCCACCGAGGCTCAGCAAGCCAATGCCACGAGGCCCGTGAGCAGCTGCAGGCTGATGGGTGAGGCTGAGTTTTGCGGGGGCAAGAAGGGAACCCATTTCACCCCAGACGGCAGCTGCATTTGAGACCAATGAGCTCTCAGTCACCAGCAATGAGATGGGGAACTGGGTCTGGGAAACTCAGACCACTCCGGTCTGAAGCCAGTGCCCCAGCCTGGCAGACGCTGTGCATTTGGGTGAGATGTAATAGCAAGGTCCAGCACGATGCGTCTTGGGCTAATCAGTCTCAGCCACTTCTGCACTGGGGTTCCCAATTAACTGCATCGTGCAGGAAGGGAGACCTGGGTTTCACAGCGGGCAGCACCACTGGAGACCGCAGCTCAGCCTGTAGGTGAGACCGAAAATAGATGAGCAAGCTGTTTGTCTGGAGGATTCGTGCAGAGCATTGACCGGCCTCATTAGGCCTGCTGTATGCTGGTCCCTTTGCAGAACTAGACAAAGGAGTAGCAAGGGAAGGGCTGTGAGAGTATCACGACTTGGGAAACCATGGCGTTGTCACCTCCAGGAGGAGATAAATAGCAGGGGAGGCGATGGCGAGTCTTTGGACTTTCCCACGGTCTGATACAGGGGCATTTCTTCTCCCTGGCTCCCAACGCGAGAACAACGGGACAGTAGGTGAGGCTGAAAGGCGCCAGGTTAAAATGGGTGGAAAGAACAGTTTTCACAGCAGCAATAGTCCAATGAAGAGCAATGAAAATGTTTTGGGGGCTGGGGGACAGGACTGGTGAGGAGAGGCTGAAGGAAATGGGCTGATTGAGTCTGCAGAAGAGAAGACCGAGGGGGATTGAATAGCAGCCTTCACCTCCCTGCAGGGGGGCTGCAAAGAGGATGGAGCTGGGCTGGTCTCAGTGGGGGCAGATGACAGAAGGAGCAATGGGCTCAAACTGCAGCAAGGAAAGTTGAGGCTAGATATTAGGAAGAAAGTTTTCATGAGGAGGGTAATAAAACACTGGAACAGGCTTCCCAGAGAGGCGGTGGCATCTCCATCCCTGGAAGTGTTGAAGACTCGGGTAGACAAAGCCTTGGCTGGGATGATGTAGTTGGGGCTGGTCCTGCTTTGAGTTGGGGGATGGACTAGATGTGACCTCTTGAGCTCCCTTCAAACCTCATTTTCCATGATTTAATGATTGCAATACCCTGGAGGTCTGGGATGATGTAGTTGGGGCTGGTCCTGCTTGGATTTCATAGATTTCATAGATTTCATAGACATTAGGGCTGGAAGGGACCTCGGAAGATCATCGAGTCCAGCCCCCTGCCCAAAGGGCAGGAAGTCAGCCGGGTTCATAGGATCCCAGCAAGGTAAGCATCCAGTTTGCTCTTGAAAGTGTTCAATGAAGGCGCTTGAACCACCTCCGGTGGCAGGCTGTTCCAGACCTTGCGGGCTCGGACAGTAAAGAAATTCTTCCTTATGTCCAGCCTGAAACGGTCTTGTAGTAGTTTATGACCATTCGACCTAGTCGTCATCCCTCGGGGCGCTCTGGTGAACAAACGTTCCCCCAGGTGCTGGTGGTCACCCCTGATAAACTTGTAGGTGGCCATCAGATCACCCCTGAGCCTGCGCTTTTCCAGGCTAAAGAGCCCCAGGGCTCTCAGCCTGTCATCGTAGGGTCTGCTTCCCTGACCTCTGATCATGCGCGTGGCTCTTCTCTGGACTCTCTCAAGCTTCTCCACATCCTTTTTGAACTGTGGAGCCCAAAACTGGACGCAGTACTCCAGCTGCGGCCTCACTAAGGCCGAGTACAAGGGGAGAATGACGTCCCGGGATTTGCTTGAGAAGCATCTATGGATGCAAGCCAGCGTTTTGGTCGCTTTACTAGCCGCCGCATCGCATTGCAGGCTCATGTTCATCTTGTGGTCAATGATGACCCCCAAGTC